TTTAGCAAACACAAATATAACATCTCACCAGTCACATTTCTCCAACCCCTTTTTAAAACCTAACCGGTGTTTACCACAAGGTCTGGGAGGTATTTATATAGCACCTATCACTGCAAAACCTAAGGTAACCTTCCCTCCAGCCTGTTCATATCAGCTGCCTTTCTTGAAGGTGACCTGCAGAGGCACAATAAATGGTTGCACTCTCTCTCTCTTTTTTTTCTCTAACCCATAAAAAAGAAGGGAAAAAAAGAAGCCAGAAATGGGAATTGGCGGGTCTACATGAGGGGCGGAGGCCACAGAGCCTTCAGCTGCGGGGAGCAGGGAGCCACTTTTCAGATCAGCTTCTGGAACAAGTTAAAGACAGTAGCTCGAGTTAGGATTGGCAATGATGTCTGACCCAGCTTTCTACAGGTTCCTAGTGCAGTTAATCTGTGCGATCTGGGGAACAGGCATCATTTGAACACTGTTGCCTTTTTACTCAGTAGCTACTACTCTTCTGACATGAAAACACAGTCAAATACATCTAAAAATGAACAAATGAAGGAAGCCCTAAAGGGGCCAAAACGCAGCAGGATTTCAGTGGCAGTGCCTGAACCTGGGCTTTGCGGTGGAGGACAGCACTGTGGGCACCCCCTGGTGCTCAACCCTCCTGGACGGCCAGTAGTCTACCAGAAAAGGCATCGATTTCCCGGTGACGATTAAAAGCAGTCCGGGAGATGGATACTGAGAAGGGCTTGAACACTACAATTAATGACATTACATCATCCTGGGGGTGGGGGAATCTCCCCGAAATAGCTTCAGTCAGAGCCGACAACCCTACGAGGGGGTAACCCCGGCCCCACACTGAGGCAGACAGTGAGCGTAGCCCGACGCCCGCCTGCTCCCCGGGACTGCCCCCGTGGCAGGGCCCTGGGTGCGTGGCAGTCCCCAGCGGGCGGCATGGAAAAGACCCCTCCCCCCTCCCTGCGTCACGCGGCCCATGGAGCCCACCCACGACACCCGCGCTCCCCAACCGCCCGCAGCCCCACCCCCATCGGGGGCTTCTAGAGAACGGCCCAGACAAGCCAGCACCTCCACGCCCCCCTCCCCATCGAACGCCATTTCCAACCCTACCTGTGGCACCCCCCAGCGCACCTCCTCAGGCTCCACGTCGGCAGCGCTCACCTGCCGACCGCCCCACGCCCCGGCAGGGCTCGCGGGAAGTCACGTGACCCACCCCTCCTCCCTTCCGCCCTGGGGCCTGCTGGGAGTCGTAGTCCTTCCCCCGCCGCGCGTGCTCCTCCCCCCGCCCTCCCTGCTGCGCCCGACTACGTTTCCCAGCAGCCCCGAGGGGGGAGGAGGCGGTGCGCAGCTTCGACCGGGCCCGGCAGGTGAGAGGCGGGGCTGGCGGCAGGTGCGTGGGGCTTTCCCCTCCCCCTCCCCCTCCCTCTCCCTTTACCGAGCCGCCGCCGCCGAGGGTGGTTAAACGGGTGGGCTGCCCCGGGCAGGTGGGTGCGCGGGGCGATGCCGGGGCTGGTGCTGGACGAGGCGTGCGATTACCTGTTCAAGATCATCCTGCTGGGGGACTCGGACGTGGGCAAGACGTGCGTGGTGCACCGCTTCCACAGCGGC